ACGCTCAATCCACCGGGCTAGAAGACCGTCCACTTCCCGGAACGAATGTAGCCAGATGAGCGCTTTGTGATCAGTTCGCAATGTGAACTGATTTCCAAGTAGGTAATGGCGGAAATGTGCAGTAAATGTGACAACAGCAAGCAGCTCCTTGCGTGTACTGCCCATGTTACGTTGGGATCTCGTTAATGCTTTGCTGGCATAGGCAATCACTACTTCCTCACCGTGACTATTGACTTGCGAGAGAACAGCTCCCATGGCGAGATCTGACGCATCAGTGTCCAGGATGAAGCGCTTTGCAGGATCAGGATATGTTAGAACAGGTGACTTGACTAGTCGGGACTTCAGTTCAGCAAATGCCTGTTCACACTCATGTGTCCAGTTGAAAGTGGCATTCTTCTGGGACAAACGGTTCAGGGGCTCTACAATTTCTGAGAAATGTGGCACAAAGCGGCGATAGTACGATGCGAAACCAACAAAGCTACGCACCTCTTTCAGTGATGTTGGGGATGACCAGTCTTGAACAGCCGTGAACTTGCTTGCATCCGGTGCCACACCTTGCTCTGAGAATAAGAATCCCAGGTACGTGACTGAGGACTGAAGCAGTGAGCACTTCTTGGGCTTGATCTTGAGGCCAGCTTGACGAAGACGACTGAATATTGTTTGCAGACGACTCATGTGTTCCTCAATCGTTGATGAGAACACGATAATGTCGTCCAAGTAGACCAGACAGATATTGGGTACTAGGTCACCAAGGACCCGGTTCATGAGGCGTTGAAAAGTTGCCGGTGCGTTACACAGGCCGAACGGCATACGGTTCCACTCGAATAATCCGAACGGTGTCACAAACGCCGACTTAGCTTTGGCAGCTTCATCTATCTCCACCTGCCAATAGCCAGCTGCGAGATCTAAGGTAGAGAAGTAGCGTGCACCCGCCATAGCGTCGATAGCATCGTCAACACGAGGAAGGGGAAAGGCATCTTTCTCGGTGATACTGTTCAACTGCCGGTAGTCGATGCATAGCCGGATAGATGAGTCAGGCTTGCGTACGACAACTATCGGAGCAGCCCAAGGGCTTCTGGATGGAGATATAATCTCATGATCAAGCAGTTGATCAACGTGCTGCTTTACCTCGGCTCGTTGACTGAGAGGAATTCGGCGGGGTGGCTGTCTCTTAGGTTGATCAGATGTAGTCTGGATGTTGTGTGTTACTACATCAGTCTTCCCAAGGTCGAATTGTCCCTGCGAGATGACATCGGCATTGTCGTTGAGCACAGTAGCTATAGCAGACTGCGCTTGCGGATCGAGGTGACGTAAGTCAAATAGATCGTCTGGCTCGGAAGGTGAGCAGCTCTCTTCCTGTACTGCGCTACAGCTATGCTCGTCAACAGAGGCAGCATGCGTAGGCGAATCATTGAGATCATCGTCAATGTAAATATCAGAATCAAATTCAGCAATTTGATAATTCTTCGGGACAGTTGTGGAATGAGGAAGAAAATTTTGTAGGCGAATCCAAACACGGCCAGCAGAGTCAGGAGTAGCCACCACACGTGACATAGCAGTGCTAAACTTGGAAATAAACTTCTCTGAGGGTGAAACAAAACCAGCAGAGCTAGGTAAATGATTATCATCGGTACGCAGCTGCGCTTGAACAATGACTTGTGTGTACGCTGGTACAGTAACCGAATTAGCAAGATGAACACGGCAGACTACAGGATTAGCATTATGGGTGGGCTCTAGGGGTACATCGACACCGCCTGCATCGAGCATGTTGCGACCGAAATCAATTGTGCAGCCATGAGATTGCAAGAAGTCAATGCCGATTAGCACATCGGGCATAATGTCAGCAACAATGACTCTGTGGCGTACAGCAAGCTTGCCAGTTGCTAACAATACGACAGCTTCCCCGAGCACAGGAACAGAAGAATTATTTACCGCTTTAAGAACAGTATTAACGGGTGAGATAGATAAATGAACATTACGATGAGAGAGAGACTTAGCAAAGCTGGTGCTCAACAACGTTACGCAACTGCCGGTGTCCACAAGCATGTTGGCTGGTACAGCCTCAACCGTGCCTTGGATCTGCACCGTGCTGTCGGACTGTGTTGCAAGACACGACAGAGGCAGGACGATCGAGTTATCTGGACACTCGGCTGGAGTAGTTGTGCAGGCCTGACAAGTGATCTCAGTAGGTAAGCAGACAGCCTCATGACACACCGAACACGGTTGACTCTGCTTACCGGTACATGGGTCCATTGGGGAGGTTGCTGACGGCGGACCCTGGTTGTCAGCGACGCTCAGTTTCCCCGACCGCGTCCACGGCCCCGGTGACCACCACGGTTAGCCGGTGTGTATCTCTGGTGCGGACAGTCAGGTGCGAAATGCATTGTGCTGTCGCACACATAGCACCGCTTGGTGTCACCATCTCCACTCCGATGCAGATTAGTTGGCCTCTCCAGCGTGAGCCTGGAGATCTTGTCCTCCAGGGCTGCCATCCTCGACAGCAGGGCGTTGAGTGGAGGGTCACTGGGTTGAGATTGCACCGCACATATAACTGGGCTAGCTGCCTGCTGCTGCTGGTCTGCCTCCAGGATGCACTGAAAATGCATAGCCCGTCGGAGTGCATCATCCAATGTTGGTGGGTCCGTGCCACGAACATGCAGGCGCAGGTCCCTGCTGTCAAGGCCGGCTACAAAGGTGTCGCGCGCCAGGGTATCCTGCACTGCTCCAGCCACCGTGGGGTACGCCCGTCTACTGAGCCTGCGGACGACTTCCGCAAAATCCGACAGGGACTCGCCACGAATTTGCCGGCGTGACTGCAGCTCTGCTCTGAACGTGGGGATGAAGTTTGCGTCGCCGAATCGCTGTTCAAACGCCTGCAGCAGCTGGTCGAATGGGCCTGTCCTCGTATGAGCTTCCAAACTTTGGAAGTATGACAGTGCGTGGCCGGTGAGGTACAACCCAATGTACCTGCTTTGGTCTGCCGGTGTCCAGTTGTTTGCATTCGCGACGAGGCGAAAATGGCCAATCCATGACGTCCAGTCGGCGTTGCGCTCGCCAGAGAATTTCTCTGGCGTGGCCCATACCCGCATCTGCTGTTGTGGACGTGCTGGTTGTTGCGCTGGGCCCGGTGGTGGTGGTGGAGGGGGCGGAGGAGCGCCACCTTGCTGAGCCATCTCTACACGATCAGTCTTCCACAAATAATTTTGGTACGCGTGCTCTCACAAGACGTGGAATTCGAATTCGCTGCCACCACGTGTAACCTTGGCCTGAGGTTACAATTACATTCACAGGAGCATAAACTCCCCAGCCCCCAGCCAGGCACCAGTTCCAACCATGACAAGACGTTGAGATCAAAACTGCAACTCTCAAGTCCAAAACATTCTCTCCAAGCAAAAGGAAAAACCAGCATCATAACAGAGCGAGCCAGCGAAAAGATACGCATGCGTGTGTGCCTGTGAGTGTGTACAAATGACGTATGCATACATGTCATGAAGTAGAGTCACATTCATAGCTACAATCAAGAGTGGAAATATTACTACGCCAAACGGAACATGTGCAACATGTTACACATGAGTACATGTATGAGTACATGCAGAAAATAGTCAATTTCAGCGTTTCTGCTCCAAACAGCAACTAGCTTCGACTAGAAACAAAGATTACACCAAAGGATCAAACAACAACCATTTTCTGCAGTTTTTTTTGCAGATGGCTTCCTTGTGCTTGGCCCAGCACGCCAAAAATCACACCTCGGAAGAGTACAAAAATTACAACTCTCAGATGTCCTCGATTGCTGGCCATGACTATGAAGAGAATTTCAAAAAGTATGTTTCGCGGAGCGATCGCTCAACCTACTTCATTCAAACTTTGCAGGATGGTTCAGACGTACATGCTAGGCATGGAACCACAGGGGATGATGCCATAGCTGACACACAGAGTAACACACACAGCAGATTCGTGTGCACAGATACTAAATTAGTGGACGTTGTCATCTTCTTCCCGCTGATCTCAAATGTACTATGACGTGCTATTTCGCCTGACGCATGCCTAGGTGTCAGAGACTTCAGGATCGCTTTCCAAATCTCTTTGGTCTCCAGCATCCCCTGCGTCCAAGTCAGCTGCGATCTTTTGAATAGCAGCAAATTCGTAATCCTCAGAAAACGACTCTGACACAATTTCGCTGTCTCCAGAATCATCCTCAGAGTCTTTACCCGCCTCACACTGCTTCACAGGACTCCTGCCATTGACACAGAGTATTTGAGCTACTTACCTTGCCGAGAAACAGCAGGGCAAGATGACGAAAACGAACTTTGAGCAAAACAATTTATTTGAACGATATGCCAAAATACGCACTTCCAACTCGATGCTCGCGGCTGTTCTGCTGTGCAGACTGGCCACATACGCTGCGTTCATGTCGATCAGGTCCTTCAGCCCACTGAGGAACAGTTCCAGGCTTAACTGGCGTTCAGGCATCAGTACAAACGCGACGTACACTGAGGACGTATATATATACGTCGTCAGTGGGGCAGGTGCACACGTCATGGCGTATATATATATACATCGTCAGTGGTGAAAGGGTTAAGACCGTAGGTAATGGCTGTGCCTGTCGTACTCTGACAAACAGACAACTGTATACCTTATTGTATGCAGGACCCTAGCTAGCATGTAGGTTGCCGACAGAGCAAGCCTCCCAGCTCGCCGAGTGTTCAGTCGGGAACCATGATCAAGATGACCAGGATGAACTTCAAATTTCACAATAACATATAGCTATCATATTTTACTAGTAGTTCTAAGTCCAGTCCCGGTTAGAAGTCTACTGTCCCTACTTGGGTCCTCGATTTCCCCGTCCAGGGCGGCTTTCGAACTCGGGACCTTGGGATTTCGCAGGCAAGCCCACAAGCACTCGGCCAAAGCGATGGTCTATATAACTGTTCCTAAATTACCTTACTTTCTTCGAAAGTGTTTGTGATTTGTGTGTGATTTTGTTGTGTCTATGTTAACAGATGATGAATCTCTCAAATCTCTCGAAGAGGCTCTCAACGTGTGTGATGCCCGTAAGTTGTCTGTATCTAAATGTATGTTTTGCATAGTAGGTATAGGTTGGAGAAGACCTTAAAACCGTAGGTAATGGCTGTGCCGGTCGTACTCTGACAAACAGGGAAACCCCCGAAAAACGAGTTAAAAATGCACGCACCCTCCCTAGTTGACTCCGCTGAGCGAATTTGGTCATCTTGATCATGGTTTGTAATCTTTTCTTTGACCCACACGCTGCGAGTCTTTAGGCAAGTTTTGCATCGTGCACTTGGCCGGGGTTTAGATTACCAGGTCGGTGCCCAGTACGTGCTCTCACACTGCTCTGCGGCAAAATGAGCGCGTTTTCTGAAAAGGTGACGTCAACAAAAAGTCCCCCATGGGCCGGGGTAACTGCAGGTCATGCAGAAGAGATGCGGATTTGTTGCACACTCTTGTTTATCTACTCCGACACTAACACTAACCCTATTTTCGTTTTCTGAACAGAAATACGTCGTCAACGACAACGTAAACAATCATCCACTGCCTGGCACAACCAGGAATCGGGTAAGTCAACCTATTTTACTTCCTCCGTGTCATTACAATTGTGGCTTCGCGCATCGCACTGTTTGCGACTTGACTGTCTTATTCTGACTGTCAGGATGACTTCCAACGCGCTTCTTGTTCAGCGTGGAGGAAGTAAAAAGCCGATGGTGTGCGCCATGTAGACGAGCTCGAGCTTGTGCACTCGCTGATCTGGCTACTTTGTTGGACAGTCAGTGTCATAACTCGTGTCATTTTCGCCTTCTCTTTTTTCCACAATGTCATCTGGAGATTGTGCAGAAGAGATGCGGAGTTGTTGCTCACCCTTGTCTTTCTACTCTTGCCAACACTAACACTCACCCTATTTTTGTTTTTCTGAACAAAAGCCGGACAACACCGTCCTCACCATGAACAATCATTCACTGGCAGCAACCAGGAAAGCCGTAAGTCAATCTATTTTACTTCCTCCGTGTCATTACAATTGTGGCTTCGCACATCGCAATGTTTGTGACTTGCTTGTCTTAGTCAGACGGTCGGAATCGCCGTTTTCTGCGTTCAAACGTTGGTACGACTCCTCCTACGCCATATCTACTTGTCATGCAAGCCGTGTTGGTCTCGGAGCTCTCTCCCGCACCATTCAAGTTCATCCCGCTCCGCACTATTTCGCCCCAGAGCGCACATCTTTTTTTCTGGAGTTCGTGCCGGCCCGCTGTTGGTGTGCGCCTTGTAGACGAGCTTAAGCTAGGTTGAAATCTAGCTCAAACTCATTAAGACGATGATCTAAAATCCACGGACACCTGAAACGCGCATATTCACGCCGGATAGTAGATACCGTATTTTTCCGGTTATAAGTCGACCTTTTACGACTGAAACTAGCAGGAGAAAAGATGGGGGTCGACTTACAACCGGGATTCGACTTATAACCGGGAAATATCGGTATCTTCCAAAAACGTCCTGCACTGCACGCACGAGTGCACCATGTGTATGCATTTTTGCCAAGTTTATTTGCCTTTTTCAAGGATTTGGTTGTTTCAGAATCCAATCAGGAGTGTTTATGTGATTTGTTCATGTGTCAGTAGCAGGGAGTGGTTAGCAGTGCTTCGTTGGGGGAAAACTTAAAAAGCATAATTAAGACCTCCGGATACGGGGGTCGACCTATAACCGGGGCCGACTTATAACCGGTAAAATACGGTAATGCTCGTCGTCAGGCGAAATTACTGGTCAGTCGGCGACAGGCATTTTTCACAAAAAAATTGCGTTTCACCTGCTGGGAGAGTATGCGTGTACTCGAGTCTCATCCTGAGCACGTTTTTTTCTTCTTTTTTTCAGCTCCAGTATAGCTGTATTTTTCATTGCAAAGCCGTCGAAGGTTCGAAGTGCGAAGTACAAAGACACGCTGCAGCATGCAGCTGAGTTCATAGTGAGTCTAGACTGTCGTGCACCGCGTATGTCGATGTCGCATGTTGACGCGAAGTCTGTACCAGCATGCGTACCGGTACACATGGTGCATGCACTCGCGATCGCGATGCAGGCCATTTTTGGGAAGTCACTGGTGATTCCCGGTTATAGGTCGAATCCCGGTTGTAAGTCAACCCCCCCCCTTTCTCGTTCGATTTTTCGGACATAAAAGGTCGACTTACAACCGGAAAAATACGGTATGTGTTGAAACGCAGTCTTTGTCTTGAGTTCGTCATGTCCGGTTGTGTTTCCGTTGTCCTGTCTTCATAAACAGTCTTCTACGAGTCGTAGTTATCTTTTCCATTGTAGAAGTGTGGAGAAGGCACGGGGCTGGGAGCAAGATAAGGAAGACCAGTTAAACCATATCTTGCTTTTTGTTGTGTTTCTGTGAGCAGACCACACGCCCACTGATAACGATCACTCCACAGAATCGCACCCCGAATCGCACTCCGAATCGCACTCCGAATCGCACTCTGGTGAGTTTATAGAAAATATTTATGTTTTAGATACACTCCATTATCATCATTGTCATCCATCATCATCCTCTGCTGATCAGCTCTCTAAGGAGCGAAACAGCTGTCCAGAGGCGTACAAATTATCTGTCAACGGAAGTGTCCTTGCCATGTTGGTGTGTTCTGCTTCACACATTGCTTCGGCTAAGAGCGCATGGTGGTGACGGATTGACTATAAAGTGGTTCACGTATGCGTCACCGCTTTAGTTAGCACAGCACATGCTCCTTGCTCCCAGCGTGGGTTTCGAACTCGGAACCTTGTGATTCGCAGGCAAGCCCACAACCACTAGGCCAAAGCGCTGGTCTATATAACTGTTCCTACACAACCTAACTTTCTTCGACTTCTGGGATAAATTTCACCTAGAAGGTAGGTGTAGTAACTGGCCTTTCTCCACCTGCTCCCAGTCCCGTGCCATCTCCACACTTATTTCAAGGGACGACGATAACTACATTTAGAAGACTTTATTGACACGACGACGAAACACAACTAGACAAGACGAACTCAAGACGAAGACTACTTTTTACACTACAGCAACACGCGCATGCGCATACATGATTGTACACGCGACGTACACAAAATAACGTACTATACGGTAGAAAGTCCGTCTACTACACTGCTCCCCTCTCAAATAATTTTCCGTCCTCGGAAAACCAACAAGAACATGACACAAAAATTAATGTATACACTGCTGCCTCCTCAAAAGGCTGAATCGTTCCTGATTCAAAAAATAATAACAGAAGAAAAATAGATCACACTAGCCACGCGAGCATACCACACCAATCACCCAAAAATGTATCGCAGCAAAACACAGCAGCCAGAGACCATCTGCCATTCACGCAGGACCTGATAGCACAAAACCCTGTCTGCCCACCAACCAGACCTTCAGCTCACGCGCTGGAACACAATCGTGGGAAATGCATACAACATCACACTCGCGCCACCTCACCAATCACGTAAAAATTCTAAAATGTAAGAGGACAAAATAATAAGAAGAGCAAATAAGAAAATGACCCTCGTCCTCGAGGAGAGCAACTGATAAATAAAAGAAAAAAATTGAGGAGAACAGCAAATACAAAACTCACGCCGTCTACCATGTCGTCCGCCATCTCAAGGAATGCTGCTCAGCGTCGACATCCTCACTTCTGGGCACAGTTTTACGTCGTGTCCGGGACCATCCATCCTTCTTTTTCTTTTCCTTTTCTTCTGGGCACAGTTTTACGTTGTGTCCGGGACCACCAGTGACGACGATTGACAAGAGACGGGCGAGACGAATGATGCAGGACGAAGACGACGGACGAACTTCTTGAAGACTGACGAAACTGTTACGATAGGACGACCGGAGATGACATCGGAAACTGGGAGCGAAGGCCACGCAGGACGAATCCAGAAGTTGATTTTGACAACAGTTTCCATCACCGCTGCCACCAATGTAGTAACTGGCCTTTCTCCACCTGCTCCCAGTCCCGTGCCATCTCCACACTTATTTCAAGGGACGACGATAACTACATTTAGAAGACTTTATTGACACGACGACGAAACACAACTAGACAAGACGAACTCAAGACGAAGACTACTTTTTACACTACAGCAACACGCGCATGCGCATACATGATTGTACACGCGACGTACACAAAATAACGTACTATACGGTAGAAAGTCCGTCTACTACAGTAGGGAAAGCTCGAACGCACCCCATCTACTCCTGTTTTTCTTTGTGTGTGTGTGTGTGCGTGTGTGTGTGCGTGCGTGCGTGCGTGCGTGCGTGCGTGCGTGCGTGCGTGTGCGTGTGTGTGATTTGTTGTGTCTGTGTAAACAGATGGTCAATCTTTCGATTTCGAGGAGATGATCGAAGCGTTATATGCCCGTAAGTTATCTGCATCTAAATGTTTGTTTTACATAGTAGGTAAAGGTTGGAGAAGACCTTTTAACCCTTTCCATGCCAGCATGTTTTCCTGTGTTCACCACGCATTGTTCAGGCGCTGAACTCACCTGTTCAAAGCTGCACGCGCACATCAGAACGAAATATATTGGCATTTCACTGTACCTTGATGGGTTTCACGATCCATGGCTTGTTGGAAAGATCTGGACCACAGGAAGCCATTTCAGGGACTCACAGCGCGACAGGCATACCAGGGCCACTTCCATCTCCTCTCCAAGTCCCCATATCGTGCCTGAAAAAACAATACGACTGCCTCTCACGTTTTCTTTCGTCTTCTTGCTCATGGTGAACTGATTTTCACGAATCAAACTGCGTTGGAAAGCTGAGATTCAAGCACGTTGAGGGGAAATCCCCTAGCCCGCACGAAGTCGCGAACAAAAAATTTGAATCGATCGCCAAAAAGTGAAATTTGCGCATTCTGGCCGTTCAATTTGTCGCCGCTAGGTCATACCTTGTCGTATCGCAAAGACCTTTATATCCCTGGAAAGCTGAGCTCAAGACCTTTCCAGCGGTGTTTCAACCTTAGCAGTCCGAGATAATTTGACGGAGTTATGACAGTTTGTACACTCGTCTATAGCGCGCGATATACATGTACTGTACAGTGTACAGTGTACATTGTACAGTGTAGGCGGAACGCGTAAACGCGTCCATGGCCAATCGGCTCATACTAAAAAAAACGCGTATACGCGTCCATGGCATGGAAAGGGTTAAGATCGTAGATAATGGCTGTGCCTGTCAGACCACAGCAGACCACAAGCCCACTGATAACGATCACTCCACAGAATCGCACTCCGAATCGCAGTTCCTGCACAACCTAACTTTCTTCGACTTCTGGGATAAATTTCACCTAGAAGCTAGGGAAAGCTCTAACGCACCCCAACTACTCCTGTTTTCTTTGTGTGTGTGTGTGTGTGTGTGTGTGTGTGTGTGTGTGTGTGTGTGTGTGTGTGTGTGTGTGTGTGTGTGTGTGTGTGTGTGTGTGTGTCTTTCTTCTCTTTCTCAGACTCCTCCTGACTTTTTTTACATTCTCCTGGGTGGTTACCAACAGCCAGTGCATGCCGGAGTATGTGGTGTGATGTGTGTGAGTGGAGAAAAATGAAAAAGACCAAAAATAGGGATTCACTGCCCAGAAAAAGTCACTTCAAATAGCTCTATGGTGTAGACCAGGCTGAATAGTGACGGTCAATTCTTCAGCCTTGCAAGCTGTTAAATGGTGCAATCCCAGCACAAGTTGCTATGGCTTCTGCCGTAGCATTGCCATCATCGCCTCCGGCGATGGGCGTCAAAGGTGTGTGTGTGTGTGTGTGTGTGTGTGTGTGTGTGTGTGTGTGTGTGTGTGTGTGTGTGTGTGTGTGTGTGTGTGTGTGTGTGTGTGTGTGTGTGTGTGTGTGTGTGTGTGTGTGTGTGTGTGTGTGTGTGTGTGCAGTGTGTGTGTGCAGTGTGTGTGCAGTGTGTGTGCAGTGTGTGTATGTGCAGTGTTTGTATGTGCAGTGTGTGTATGTGCAGTGTGTGTATGTGCAGCGATTTCCAATCGATAGATTGCGGGTTCGATTCCTGACGATTATGGTCACACACGTCTTTCTTCTCTTCTCAGACTCTTCCTGACTTTCCTTTCATTCTCCTGGGTGGTTACCAACAGCCAGTGCATGCCGGAGTATGTGGTGTGATGTGTGTGCGGGAAAAAATTGAAAAGACCAAAAATAGGGATTCACTGGCCAGAGAAAGTCACTTCAAAATAGCTGTGTTGTCCCTGCCCTTTTGGCACGTGTGGGGCACACACGTGCCAAAAGGGCAGGGACAACAGCTGTATGGTGTAGACCAGGCTGAATAGTGACGGTCAATTCTTCAGCCTTGCAAGCTGTTGAATGGTGCAATCCCAGCACAAGTTGCTATGGCTTCTGCCGTAGCATTGCTATCATCGCCTCCGGCGATGGGCGTCAAAGGTCAAGGTCAAGGTGTGTGTGTGTGTGTGTGTGATTTGTTGTGTCTATGTAAACAGATGGTGACTCTCTCGAATCTCTCGAAGAGTTTCTCAGAGCGTTATATGCCCGTAAGTTATCTGCATCTAAATGTATGTTCTGCATAGTAGGTATAGGTTGGAGAAGTCCTTAATAATAACCCTTTCAGCCCTGACCGGAAAATCACCTGGCCAAAATTTTTGAACATGCATATTCTGATCCAAAATTGATTGGAGATGTTGCATATGGACATATGCACTGTGAATCCAAAGAAATGTTGTAGGATTTCATTGTACGAGACTCATAACACCATATTTAGATACGCGACTTTTGGCGATTTTTTTCCTCAAAATTCATTCAATTTAGGCAATTGACGACAAAGATCAGACAAGCAATGGCAAGCAGTGCTATGACTGGTCAGTGTTGACTTCAGAATGGAGAAATGTCATATAACATGCCTGATGTGATCCTGGTGTTCTACGGCAACCTAGACTAGAGTACAGCAACTCGTTTTATACGGCGCTTGCATCATATGCAACTTCGCGATCCAGAATGGGTCTTTCTTTTTCTTGGGCGCCTCGTAAAGCTTGAATCCTCCAGCAGCCCTACCTACTTCAAGACAAAACCATGTGATGGACAGTGAGGATGCCGAGTAACTGGAGTAGCAACCACAGCAACTGCATCAGCTATAATAGCAGCCGGTGCAGTGGCAGCGGTTGGCTCACTGTGCTCGGCGCATTCCAGGGTGAATCATCACTGGCCGCACGCATATGTCATGGCCGCGCTTGGCGGGTTTGAGACTTGGCTTAGATCAGTCTAGTGGCTACCCAGGTAGACGACCAATATAGTCGCCATCCAAGTTGCTAGCTCACATAGAACGACAGGTTTCTAATTCCACTTGAACAGTGTTTATTTGAACCATTGCAGTACTAGATCGAAAGATCAAGTGTGTAGAGTCAAAAGACCAAAGCAGGAGAGAGTCGGAGTGACTCTCTCAGAATCGAGAGGAGTAGTGAGCTCCCCGAGAATCGAGGATGAATGTTAGCAAAACAGCTCCTTATATATGCTACATTATGTGATCAAAAGTATACAGTGGCAAGAATGCGTAAGGATTATTTCTATATTACAAACAGTGGTGCAATATGTGCAATCAGCCAAACTAGAATATAGTACAAAGAATGATCAATCAATACGGGGAGCTCGCTCACCCACATTACATGAAAGGACTCCGAGGCTCTTCGTGCGACGGGGCCTGGAGTATGCTGTCGGAAGTTGCTGCAGCTAGAGCACGCCGCCTCCGTACGCTGCCTTGGTCGTTGGTCACCCTTCATCTCCTGCCCGTAGGCTCTTCCCTCTCATTACCCCGTAGGGTGCTTCACGGTCAAGCCGTGACCTCTCCCAAAAAGGGATAACGGAGTCCGCAGTGCGCGAAGCACTTGCAGGACCCTTTACGTCGTACGACGCGAGAAGAGGTGCCATGCTTGCTCGACTAACAAAGGTATCAGCTCCCTTGCAGGACTAAGCAGGGTCCCCTCAAGCTCAACAGTGTAGTGAGTACAATGCTGACGACTTGTACTGAAGGTGTAGCCGCCGTACGACAACACTTGTGACTCTAAGCCACGAGTTGTAAGCCATGATTGCTCAACTAACGAAAGTGCCAAATCCTTCGTAGGACTAATCATGGTTCTTACAGAACTCTAGGATATTTCGGAGCCCAGCTTTTGGCTGCTGAACTCAATGCATGGTCGCTTTCACGACGAGTCTGATCCGGGTCATGACACATACGTACGTACGTACGCGGCACAGGTAAAGTCATATTGATGGAGAATGCAATACTGCTCATTCTCTGATTCAGACACTCACTGGCAAGACAATCCAGCTATCCCTATTGTGATCTGCATGCATGTCTGACCAGTACACTTGACTTCAAATTCAAATATTTTCAAAAATCTGACCTTCAAATTTGATCGCAGTTTACTTGAGGAACTTCAGCAAACGGGCTCACGACAGATAGCTCCTGCTCAGAACACCGTCAGGCGAAATTACTGGTCAGTCGGCGACACGCATTTTTTCACAAAATTTTGCGTTTCACCTGCTGGGATAGTATGCGTGTACTCGAGTCTCATCCTGAGCACATTTTTTTCTTCTTTTTTTCAGCTCCAGTATAGCTGTATTTTTCATTGCAAAGCCGTCCTCGATTGTTGTATTCGTTGTTCAAACGAAGTGGACATTCCATCATGAAGGCAGAGGACATAGGAGCCTGATTGGAGTTTCTCGTGGCTTAGGACGGCCACACAGAGACACTTTGGGATTTTCTGATAATAAAATACCGTACGCACGATGCTGACATAGCCAGCAATCGCATGTCATCACGTACATTCAAAATCAACATAATTCTGCGAATCGACCTTTTTTTCAGGATCACTTACGAGATGAAACAACTAAAAAACAACTAAAAAATCCACAAGAAAACTGTACTTTGGTCTGAGAATTTCTATCACGATCAAAAATGTACGAGGAGCACTCAAAAATAAGCCACAGACGTACCTTTATCGCTCTCTACTCCTTTTTCAAGGCACAAAAGTCGACTCTCCACTTTCAAACCCGTCAGGCGAAATTACTGGTCAGTCGGCGACACGCATTTTTCACAAAAATTTGCGTTTCACCTGCTGGGAGAGTATGCGTGTACTCGAGTCTCATCCTGAGCACGTTTTTTTCTTCTTTTTTTCAGCTCCAGTATAGCTGTATTTTTCATTGCAAAGCCGTCCTCGATTGTTGTGTTCGTTGTTCAAACGAAGTGGACATTCAATCATGAAGGCAGAGGACATAGGAGCCTGATTGGAGTTTCTCGTGGCATAGGACGGCCACACAGAGACACTTTGGGATTTTCTGAATATAAAATACCGTACGCACGATGCTGAGATCAATTTGTGCGATATCAAATTGTTTGTGATCTACCACATCGAGCAGAACAGGATCCAAACACAAGCTTACCGACGGTTAGCCTGCCGACCTGACTGGACAAATGATCCCTGGCTTCACCAGACGCCAGAAGTCGGACACCATGTCCTTTGCCGCGACATCCATCTCCAAAAAGAACTCCATCTTCGTCGTGAAAAGGCTTGAAATACTCAATATTCAATCGAGATTCGCGGTCTCACCCTTTCTCAGATCGAATCATTTTCTGTTGTAGCAGTTGCAGGGCAGATCCCGGCCACTACTTCAACAGGGGATGGCTCCAAAGCATACCTGTGTCATGACCCGGATCAGACTCGTCGTGAAAGCGACCATGCATTGAGTTCAGCAGCCAAAAGCTGGGCTCCGAAATATCCTAGAGTTCTGTAAGAACCATGATTAGTCCTACGTGGATTTGGCACTTTCGTTAGTTGAGCAATCATGGCTTACAACTCGTGGCTTAGAGTCGCAAGTGTTGTCGTACGTCGGCAACAACTTCAGTACAAGTCGTCAGCATTGTACTCACTACACTGTTGAGCTTGAGGGGACCCTGCTTAGTCCTGCAAGGGAGCTGATACCTTTGTTAGTCGAGCAAGCATGGCACCTCTTCTCGCGTCGTACGACGTAAAGGGTCCTGCAAGTGCTTCGCGCACTGCGGACTCCGTTATCCCTTTTTGGGAGAGGTCACGGCTTGACCGTGAAGCACCCTACGGGGTAATGAGAGGGAAGAGCCTACGGGCAGGAGATGAAGGGTGACCAACGACCAAGGCAGCGTACGGAGGCGGCGTGCTCTAGCTGCAGCAACTTCCGACAGCATACTCCAGGCCCCGTCGCACGAAGAGCCTCGGAGTCCTTTCATGTAATGTGGGTGAGCGAGCTCCCCGTATTGATTGATCATTCTCTGTACTATATTCTAGTTTGGCTGATTGCACATATTGCACCACTGTTTGTAATATAGAAATAATCCTTACGCATTCTTGCCACTGTATACTTTTGATCACATAATGTAGCATATATAAGGAGCTGTTTTGCTAACATTCATCCTCGATTCTCGGGGAGCTCACTACTCCTCTCGATTCTCGGGGAGCTCACTACTCCTCTCGATTCTGAGAGAGTCACTCCGACTCTCTCCTGCTTTGGTCTTTTGACTCTACACACTTGATCTTCCGATCTAGTACTGCAATGGTTCAAATAAACACTGTTCAAGTGGAATTAGAAACCTGTCGTTCTATGTGAGCTAGCAACTTGGATGGCGACTATATTGGTCGTCTACCTGGGTAGCCACTAGACTGATCTAAGCCAAGTCACAAACCCGCCAAGCGCGGCCATGACATTTGGTGCTGTGACCAGGATCCAAGTTGCGTCTTGCTGTTGCTCCGGCAGAGTAGTCGTAACTCGGTGTGCACTGGTCCATGCTGAACTCTGAGCTCTTGTTTTACTCGAGCACGCAGAGGTGTGAATTTGATGTCGATTTCACGAGGCTGCAAGCAGTTCTCAAGTGGATTCGGAAGCGAACTGTTTTGTTCTGTTCTGGCCTTGGTCCGTTCAGTTGAACACTCTGTCTGAGTGCGTGCACATGGAACGTGAACTCGTTCTGTTTTGTAGCTGTTGCTACCTTTACCAGTTGGCGTGCCAACTTGTTCCGGAAGACCTGGCGAAAGTCGGTCATGCCGCTGACGAGAGTTTCGACTCCCGCACCACTTGTTGGTCTGAGATATGTGTCAGCTGCACTCGATTTGCGGTGTAGACGGCGCATTGTTCGAACCCACAGAGGTTCTTGCAAGGACGTGCAATGAGGAAACTCTGCTGTTTTGTCAGCGCTTGCACAGAAACTGCTCGAGAAGCGAAATGCTTTTAGGCTTTTTGAGTCGTCTTGCAGTGGCAGGATCGATGACTGCATGAAGCTTAGCTTCTACGTTGCCCTCAGCTGCAGTTGAGGAGTGTTGCTGTTCTTTTGAACTTTGACGGTTCAAAAACAGTCAAGAGGACTATGTCCTTGTCGTGTGACGGAGTCACGAAGCCAGATTTTGAAACTGGGCGCACCAGTTGAGATGCTGGCTGAAACGATGATACAGCAACAAGTTCTGCAGAGAGCTTGAACAACTGCTGATTTGCGTTCGTTGATGCGGATCTCGAATGTTCTGATTGGAGTGTGATAGAAATCACTAGTGAGCTGATGCCCACCTGAAACCAGCACTTCTGTGTTGGACGATGCCTGTTTGGTGTCGGATTTGTCGCGACGTCCGCACCCTGTGGTGTTTCGTCACGTACTGAGTATGATGTTGGTTACTGGTTCTGACATTGGACGCGATGTGCTGTCCCAATTCCTTGCGAGATCATTTCGGGTGATGGAGCATTGCATTTTAAAGCTTCTAAAGCTGATGTCGTTCCGCCAAGCCATGATGGTGACGGCAAACGAGAGCACGTTCTTCGCTTGCGGAGGCGTGAAGTGATACTCCCTTTTCGGAGGTGACGGTTAACGCCGTGCTAGACACGTCGGAAGGGTTGCCGACCTGTGCCTTGACGATACCTGATGGGTGTTTTCAAGGAATGAATGATGTCATGATGGCGCATGCGCTAGTGAGCCCTACGGTGGATGGTGTTCCCGTACGGGTGTTAAATTACTCTGACGAGGCAGTGGCTCTAGAGAGGGCAATGCAGATTGGTCGGTTGGAACCAATATCTGAAGTCATGAGTATCATGACCGAAGACACTATGGCCGATGGTCAGAGAGAGGAATCAGCTCAAATAGCTGAGACAGAGGACTCCCTCGGGGTCTGGAAGCAGTTGCGCATTGGCGCAGATTGTCCCGCTCTAACTCCCCGCTGTGGAAGGGACGAGCTGGTCTCAGTCCAGGTACCCACTGGTAGTGGAAGGGATGAGCTGGGCTTAGTCCAAGTGCCCACTGTTGGTGGAAGGGATGAGCTGGGCTTAGTCCAAGTACCCACTGTTGGTGGAAGGGATGAGCTGGGCTTAGTCCAAGTACCCACTGCTGGTGGAAGGGATGAGCTGGGCTTAGTCCAAGTACCCACTGCTGGTGGAAGGGATGAGCTGGGCTTAGTCCAAGTACCCACTGCTGGTGGAAGGGATGAGCTGGGCTTAGTCCAGGTGCCCACCACTGTTGGTGGAAGGGATGAGCCGGACTCAATCCAGCCCACAGCGGCGGGTGGAGGAAGAGATGGACAATCTGGTATCTCCTGCGAGGAGATCCACTGCTTGCAAGCCTTAGTGCTTCGGTATCGAGATGCGTTCACTTTGAACCCATCTGAGCTTGGTCGCACTTCGGTGCTACACCACACAATTGAGACACGTGATCGTGGTCCTGTTGCACAGGCTACTAGGCGTATGCCATTGTGTCTGTCCTTTCTGGCAGCAATGAACCTACCGTGGAAGTCTTGGCGAGGTCGCCAAAGTCTTTTGTAATGGGTGGAGTGTGGGTGGAACCGATTCGTTGGATACCACCAAATCTATGAAATGGCTCCTGGAGCTCTGCAGCAGTTTTTGTACTGAACCGGATACCTACGTGGTAGAAGGGTGTGTCGACCACACGTTATGGCCTATGGTCTACATTCATCTGAGATGACACGAAATGGCGAACTGTCATACGTATACGCTTTGCGTGAAGATTTGCAACGTGCATTTAGTTGTGCATGACAAGCTGTGTGTTGTTCATCAACACCAGGCTCATCTCTACGATAGTGGAGCAGTACCAGTTTCATTTTGAAGTTGGAAATTTTTTGATGGAAATGTCCCGCCTGTGGAGCCACATTTCGTACTCTATGCCCGTACCTGTTGCGGTGCAGAACCCGTTGGCTTGGCCAACGAGAGCTAGGCGGTTACCGTCACGACTCGCTGACTTTAATGTTAGTTGAGATCACGGGGACGTGATTCTTGAGAGGCCGGGGAATTGTCATGACCCGGATCAGACTCGTCGTGAAAGCGACCATGCATTGAGTTCAGCAGCCAAAAGCTGGGCTCCGAAATATCCTAGAGTTCTGTAAGAACCATGATTAGTCCTACGTGGATTTGGCACTTTCGTTAGTTGAGCAATCATGGCTTACAACTCGTGGCTTAGAGTCGCAAGTGTTGTCGTACGTCGGCAACAACTTCAGTACAAGTCGTCAGCATTGTACTCACTACACTGTTGAGCTTGAGGGGACCCTGCTTAGTCCTGCAAGGGAGCTGATACCTTTGTTAGTCGAGCAAGCAAGGCCCCTCTTCTCGCGTCGTACGACGTAAAGGGTCCTGCAAGTGCTTCGCGCACTGCGGACTCCGTTATCCCTTTTTGGGAGAGGTCACGGCTTGACCGTGAAGCACCCTACGGGGTAATGAGAGGGAAGAGCCTACGGGCAGGAGATGAAGGGTGACCAACGACCAAGGCAGCGTACGGAGGCGGCGTGCTCTAGCTGCAGCAACTTCCGACAGCATACTCCAGGCCCCGTCGCACGAAGAGCCTCGGAGTCCTTTCATGTAATGTGGGTGAGCGAGCTCCCCGTATTGATTGATCATTCTTTGTACTATATTCTAGTTTGGCTGATTGCACATATTGCACCACTGTTTGTAATATAGAAATAATCCTTACGCATTCTTGCCACTGTATACTTTTGATCACATAATGTAGCATATATAAGGAGCTGTTTTGCTAACATTCATCCTCGATTCTCGGGGAGCTCACTACTCCTCTCGATTCTCGGGGAGCTCACTACTCCTCTCGATTCTGAGAGAGTCACTCCGACTCTCTCCTGCTTTGGTCTTTTGACTCTACACACTTGATCTTTCGATCTAGTACTGCAATGGTTCAAATAAACACTGTTCAAGTGGAATTAGAAACCTGTCGTTCTATGTGAGCTAGCAACTTGGATGGCGACTATATTGGTCGTCTACCTGGGTAGCCACTAGACTGATCTAAGCCAAGTCACAAACCCGCCAAGCGCGGCCATGACACCTGGAACAAGCCATATCGAGGTTGCAAGCCACCCCTCTCAGCAAGAAATTCGAAATTTCAATGGTGGAAGATATACTATGAAGAGAATTTCAAAAAGTATGTTTCGCGGAGCGATCGCTCAACCTACTTCATTCAAACTTTGCAGGATGGTTCAGACGTACATGCTAGGCATGGAACCACAGGGGATGATGCCATAGCTGACACACAGAGTCACACACACAGCAGATTCGTGTGCACAGATACTAAATTAGTGGACGTCGTCATCTTCTTCCCGCTGATCTCAAATGTACTATGACGTGCTATTTCGCCTGACGCATGCCTAGGTGTCAGAGACTTCAGGATCGCTTTCCAAATCTCTTTGGTCTCCAGCATCCCCTGCGTCCAAGTCAGCTGCGATCTTTTGAATAGCAGCAAATTTGTAATCCTCAGAAAACGACTCTGACACAATTTCGCTGTCTCCAGAATCATCCTCAGAGTCTTTACCCGCCTCACACTGCTTCACAGGACTCCTGCCATTGACACAGAGTAGTTGAGCTACTTACCTTGCCGAGAAACAGCAGGGCAAGATGACGAAAACGAACTTTGAGCAAAACAATTTATTTGAACGATATGCCAAAATACGCACTTCCAACTCGATGCTCGCGGCTGTTCTGCTGTGCAGACTGGCCACATACGCTGCGTACATGTCGATCAGGTCCTTCAGCCCACTGAGGAACAGTTCCAGGCCTCACTGGCGTTCAGGCATCAGTACAAACGCGACGTACACTGAGGACGTATATATATACGTCGTCAGTGGGGCAGGTGCACACGTCATGGCGTATATATATATACATCGTCAGTGGTGAAAGGGTTAAGACCGTAGGTAATGGCTGCGCCTGCCGTACTCTGACAAACAGACAACTGTATACCTTATTGAATGCAAGACCCTAGCTAGCATGTAGGTTGCCGACAGAGCAAGCCTCCCAGCTCACCGAGTGTTCAGTCGGGAACCATGATCAAGATGACCAGGATGAACTTCAAATTTCACAATAACATAATATGTTATTGTGAAATTTGAAGTTCATCGCTTTTACAGTACTAGAAAAATATGATAGCTATATTATAGCTATCATATTTTTCTAGTACTGTAAAAGCAGAAGTTTTCGGTGGTGTAATATTTTCGGTATTCGCCAAAATCGGCGGTTCGGTAGCGGGAAATTTTCGGTAAAACCCGTTCTCCAGGTAGGTGTGCTAGTACAACATGTATACAGTATCGGTTGTACCGAAAATTTCAGTGCGTTTTATTTCCGGTAAAAATTGTCGCCACCGAAGTTACCGAAAATAAAACACCACCGAAAATTTCTGCTTTTACAGTAGTTCTAAGTCCAGTCCCGGTTAGAAGTCTACTGTCCCTACTTGGGTCCTCGATTTCCCCGTCCAGGGCGGCTTTCGAACTCGGGACCTTGTGATTTCGCAGGCAAGCCCACAAGCACTCGGCCAAAGCGATGGTCTATATAACTGTTCCTAAATTGCCTTACTTTCTTCGAAAGTGTTTGTGATTTGTGTGTGATTTTGTTGTGTCTATGTTAACAGATGGTGAATCTCTCGAATCTCTCGAAGAGATTCTCAACGTGTGTGATGCCCGTAAGTTGTCTGTATCTAAATGTATGTTTTGCATAGTAGGTATAGGTTGGACAAGACCTTAAAACCGTAGGTAATGGCTGTGCCGGTCGTACTCTGACAAACAGGGAAACCCCCGAAAAACGAGTTGAAAATGCACGCACCCTCCCTAGTTGACTCCGCTGAGCGAATTTGGTCATCTTGATCATGGTTTGTAATCTTTTCTTTGACCCACACGCTGCGAGTCTTTAGGCAAGTTTTGCATCGTGCACTTGGCCGGGGTTTAGATTACCAGGTCGGTGCCCAGTACGTGCTCTCACACTGCTCTGCGGCAAAATGAGCGCGTTTTCTGAAAAGGTGACGTCAACAAAAAGTCCCCCATGGGCCGGGGTAACTGCAGGTCATGCAGAAGAGATGCGGATTTGTTGCACACTCTTGTTTATCTACTCCAACACTAACACTAACCCTATTTTCGTTTTCTGAACAGAAATACGTCGTCAACGACAACGTAAACAATCATCCACTGCCTGGCACAACCAGGAATCGGGTAAGTCAACCTATTTTACTTCCTCCGTGTCATTACAATTGTGGCTTCGCGCATCGCACTGTTTGCGACTTGACTGTCTTATTCTGACTGTCAGGATGACTTCCAACGCGCTTCTTGTTCAGCGTGGAGGAAGTAAAAAGCCGATGGTGTGCGCCTTGTAGACGAGCTCGAGCTTGTGCACTCGCTGATCTGGCTACTTTGTTGGACAGTCAGTGTCATAACTCGTGTCATTTTCTCCTCTTTTTTCCACAATGTCATCTGGAGATTGTGCAGAAGAGATGCGGAGTTGTTGCTCACCCTTGTCTTTCTACTCTTGCCAACACTAACACTCACCCTATTTTTGTTTTTCTGAACAAAAGCCGGACAACACCGTCCTCACCATGAACAATCATTCACTGGCAGCAACCAGGAAAGCCGTAAGTCAATCTATTTTACTTCCTCCGTGTCATTACAATTGTGGCTTCGCGCATCGCAATGTTTGTGACTTGCTTGTCTTAGTCAGACAGTCGGAATCGCCGTTTTCTGCGTTCAAACGTTGGTACGACTCCTCCTACGCCATATCTACTTGTCATGCAAGCCGTGTTGGTCTCGGAGCTCTCTCCCGCACCATTCAAGTTCATCCCGCTCCGCACTATTTCGCCCCAGAGCGCACACCTTTTTTTCTGGAGTTCGTGCCGGCCCGCTGTTGGTGTGCGCCTTGTAGACGAGCTTAAGCTAGGTTGAAATCTAGCTCAAACTCATTAAAAAGACGATGATCTAAAATCCACGGACACCTGAAACGCGCATATTCACGCCGGATAGTAGATACCGTATTTTTCCGGTTATAAGTCGACCTTTTACGACTGAAACTAGCAGGAGAAAAGATGGGGGTCGACTTACAACCGGGATTCGACTTATAACCGGGAAATATCGGTATCTTCCAAAAACGTCCTGCACTGCACGCACGAGTGCACCATGTGTATGCATTTTTGCCAAGTTTATTTGCCTTTTTCAAGGATTTGGTTGTTTCAGAATCCAATCAGGAGTGTTTATGTGATTTGTTCATGTGTCAGTAGCAGGGAGTGGTTAGCAGTGCTTCGTTGGGGGAAAACTTAAAAAGCATAATTAAGACCTCCGGATACGGGGGTCGACCTATAACCGGGGCCGACTTATAACCGGTAAAATACGGTAATGCTCGTCGTCAGGCGAAATTACTGGTCAGTCGGCGACAGGCATTTTTCACAAAAAATTGCGTTTCACCTGCTGGGAGAGTATGCGTGTACTCGAGTCTCATCCTGAGCACGTTTTTTCTTCTTTTTTTCAGCTCCAGTATAGCTGTATTTTTCATAGCAAAGCCGTCCTCGATTGTTGTGTTCGTTGTTCAAACGAAGTGGACATTCAATCATGAAGGAAGAGGACATAGGAGCCTGATTGGAGTTTCTCGTGGCATAGGACGGCCACACAGAGACACTTTGGGATTTTCTGAATATAAAATACTGTACGCACGATGCTGAGATCAATTTGTGTGATCTCAAATTGTTTGTGATCTACCACATCGAGCTGAATGGGATCCAAACACAAGCTTACCGACGGTTAGGCTGCCAACCTGACTGGACAAATGATCCCTGGCTTCACCAGACGCCAGAAGTCGGACACCATGTCCTTTGCCGCGATGTCCATCTCCAAAAAGAACTCCATCTTCGTCGTGAAAAGGCTTGAAATACTCAATATTCAACCGAGATTCGCGGTCTCACCCTTTCTCAGATCGAATCATTTTCTGTTGTAGCAGTTGCAGGGCAGATCCCCGCCACTACTTCAACAGGGGATGGCTCCAAAGCATACCTGGAACAAGCCATATCGAGGTTGCAAGCCACCCCTCTCAGCAAGAAATTCGAAATTTCAATGGTGGAAGATATACTGTGAAGAGAATTTCAAACAGTATGTTTCGCGGAGCGATCGCTCAACCTACGTCATTCAAACTTTGCAGGATGGTTCAGAGGTACATGCTAGGCATGGAACCACAAGGGATGATGCCATAGCTGACACACAGAGTCACAGTAACAGCAGATTCGTGTGCACAGATACTAAATTAGTGGACGTCGTCATCTTCTTCCCGCTGATGTCAAATGCACTATGACGTGCTATTTTGCCTGATGTTTAAGACAACCAATTTGAAACCCCCGAGGTTATCTCCTGAGAAGAGTAGACCTGTACTGCCGGTCAGTTTTGTGCACTCGCTGATCTGGCTACTTTGGTGGACAGTCAGTGTCATAACTCGTGTCATGTTCTCCTTCTCTTTTTTTCACAATTGTATTTGTTGTTGTTTCTTGTGTCTATGTGAACAGATCAGGAGGAATTTCACACCCAACACAACCTGGACCAGATCAATACTGGTAAGTTATCTATCTAAATGTATTTATTTATACAGGAGATACAGCGGCGTTGGATGGCCTGGCCCACAGCGGAATTTCTTGCTGACGTCATCTTTTCTTTGACGCATGCGCTGCGAGTCTTTTGGTAAGTTTGCCTCGTGCACTTGGCCAGGCTTTAGATTACAAGGTCGGTGCCCAGTACGTACTCTCAATCAAACATGGTTGAACAAGCGATCACGTGCTCCTGCGTACACCAGTCACCTGGTCACCGTGCCTGCAGGGTACAACTTACAGCCTGTTTGGGTGCATTCCTGTCACTCGAGTTGAACTCGAGTTGAACTCGAGTTGAACCTTGGTGTGAAAGTTGTCCCTTGCTGGCACAGCGACCAGGTGACTGGTGTACGCAGGAGAACGTGACCGCTTGTTCAACCACGTTTGATTGGGAATAGGGGCCGAACGCTGCATCGGAGCCTTTTCGGACCAACACCAGTCGACTCAGCGTCCAAAAGACTACAACATATGGGCCAATTGCGGTCGTCCGTGCTTTTATAAGAACATAATGGCGGTTTTAGTGACATTTTGCATACAAATTGCCATCTAGTAGGGCACAGTCACCCAGTTTCGATGGAAGACCGCGAGTTCAATTGGGAATAAAGGAGGAAGGGAGTGTCTCAGCTTCCTTGCGCCAAGATTTGATTTTAGGCTTTAAACCCTTTACCGTTTGTACGCACAAATTTCGACCGCTCGCGGTCGATGACTTCTATGCGCACAGCGCTGGACTGGTTCACCGCAGAGAGCAGGGATTTTCCCTTCTGGTAGCCAAGATGTACGCGCAGAGGGTGCTAACAATTTTTTGTGTGATGCAATATAAAAAATCACAAAAATCGCGACTTGAAAAATGCGCTTTGGGAAAAGTGCGTACCCTGCGACTTTTGGTATTGCCTGCAGATGTTTTCGACTTTTGTTTGAGCTGGCCTCGCGACTGTCTGCCCTACTGTGCAAGCCATGGACGTGGAGCAAGCTCTTTCGCTTCTGGGGACGCTTCCTGACGACCCTGTCGCCGCCTCATCCAGCGAAGATGAGTTCGTGGAGCCAGACGATTCTGTTCATAATATTATTCTGACGACGACAGCGACGATGACATGGCGAGTCAAAGCAGCGCCAGCGAGAGTGACATGGATGTCACAGACGACGACAGTGTCGCTGAGATAAGTGCTACTAATGGTGGAAGGGGACGTGGCAGAGAGAGAGAGAGGATTCGGCCGTGGAATAGGCGGTGGTCACTGTAGAGGTTGTGTTGTACAGGTACTAGGTACAGCCAGCGGTGCAACCTGCACTAGTGGATATTTGCAACACTTGGGACAATACTGCCACTAGTGTGACTAGTACCACTCCTGCATTCCACCCAGAGAACGAACCTGGTATCCACTTACCTGAGGGAGCCACTCCAGTGCAAGAATCTCATTTATTGCATATTGCAACAGTTTGCCCGATCGGCAATAAATCCAAATAATTATTAGTGCTAAATAGTGAAATTTGTGTTCGTTTTCTGGACTTGAAAGTTGTTGCATCGCATTCCTGAGGGTTTTTACTTTCAGAATCACCCCATTTTGTACATAATAAAAGTGAAAAATAAAGAAGTTATGGCATGAACAATGACGGTCGGTTTTTGCTGTACAAATACCTAAAACGGTAAAGGGTTAACTTTCCCTTTAAGAGGGTGTACAGTCCATTTCAAAACTATAGACGCGTACCTAGGCAAAAAACCGTTATGCCAGCATCTATACCACATAAAATCTGTGATCACTTTGTGCATAAAATTTTCCAAATTGGGCGTCTGTTATCCAATCGTTTAGAAACTATATGAGAGTAATTGTGGAGCGGACCTGAGCAATATTCCGAAAACTATTCCCAAAAAGTTCCAGCCAAATTTGAAGTATTTCAAAAACCCTACGCGTCTATAGTTTTGAAATGGACTGTAGGTAATGGCTGTGCCTGTCGTACTTATTGAATGCAGGACCCTAGCTAGCGTGTAAGGTGCTGACAGAGCAAGCATCCCAGCTCGCCGAGTGTTCAGTCATTAACCAGTCTGTGGGGACTGCCCTATTAAGGGCGTGTTCAGACTACCGATAAAAAGTGACCGATTGGGAAAGTCGCCAAGGTGATTTGATCACGTGACGTTACTGGCACGTTACCGGTGGGAAAGTTTTACTGCCGCGGCTGCTGCGGCAGTAAACTTTTTACCGGCAGTAAAAAGTGCTCAAGCTGCATGCGCGCTGGGAAAAAAGGGAAAATCCCTTGTCAGTGCCGCGGTGAGAGCTGAAAACTTCACGGTAACGTTAGTTTGTTATCGGTAGTGTGAATGTCCTTCACGGTTTATCGGCATTCACGGTTTGACGGGGTTCACGGTAGTCTGAACGCGCCCTAACCCTTCCAGTGCCAGGCCAGATGTACGCTGTTGGCCGGGCCATTTTCATAAAAAAATCTGATTTTTTCAATTTAGTCGTATCAACTCAAACCGACGTGTTGTCCTGCGCTGGCGTAGCTTGTGCTGCTGCGCCCTGCTCAAACTCGACATGGACACCTCCGATATCCTCAGGGCCGTCCAAGGCGACCACAGCAGTAGGTACGGCATCGACCACGGCGGACTCTTCCGCGAAATTTGTTCAGTCACGATCGCGGACAGCTATGTCCGCATCCTAGTCATCGCATTCACTATCGCAGCCCCAGTCATCAATGTCCGAGTCCATGATGGACTGGAGCACCTCTTCAGCCGACATGCGGGCGACTCGCCGTGTCTGAGTGACAGCTAGAGAGACCTAAAGTACGTTCCGTCAATCTAATTGTTTCTGAATCGAAATATGTTTTTCGCCCGAGCGCTCTGATTGTATGCTGCTGTGCCCTTACTTACTCAAACACGGCGAGTGAGGTCTTATTCAGTAGGGAAAACCCCTAGTTTCCCCTCGAGGAGCCACAATCGGCTAGATTATAGTGCATGGCCGGTGAGATAATAGTAGTGCGCACTACGAGGACGAGATATCTCGTCTTTGGCCAATCGCGTGGGGGTCTGTAGGACGAGTTATCTCGTCCTTGGCACTGAAAGGGTTAAAATATGAATAAATAATAATAACCATGAGCAAGATGACCAAGATAAACTGCAAACTTCACAACTAACACCCCCCATGCATACACTCTGACAGGCTTAGACCTGCCCATCGCAGAAGCGATGACAGCGAACAGCTATGTTAGACATAGCAACTCGTGCTGGGATTACACCCGCCAACGGCTTGCAAGGAATACGCGCGCGCGCCCGCACGCGCGCACACACACACACACACACACACACACACACACACACGAACGCACATATGCACGCGCGAGCGCGTGCACACCGTTTCACGCATGTGGTAATTAGCTATTCTAATCAGTTCTGTGTGCCTTCTGGTCTGTTACAGAGGAAGCGGCAATGCATTCTTCCAACAATGCCCAAGCTGCACCACGTCGAGATTCAAGGGACTTCTCAGTTTCTTCCAACAATGCCCAAGCTGCACCACGTCGAGACTCAAGGGACTTCTCAGTTTCTTCCAACAATGCCCAAGCTGCACCACGTCGAGGCTCAAGGGACTTCTCAGTTTCTTCCAACAATGCCCAAGCTGCACCACGTCGAGGCTCAAGGGACTTCTCAGTTTCTTCCAACAATGCCCAAGCTGCACCACGTCGAGGCTCAAGGGACTTCTCAGTTTCTTCCAACAATGCCCAAGCTGCACCACGTCGAGGCTCAAGGGACTTCTCAGTTTCTTCGAACAATGCTCAAGCTGCACCACGTCGTTCTTCAAGGACCCTCTCAGTTAACTTCTCATTTTCTTCTAGCAAGTCCCCAGCTGCAGCCCGCCATATCCCTAGCCACCACCGTCACTAATGCGCTACTACTACTACTAATTGTCTACGGCTGCTTGGCGAGTGTATACCAACTGGCGCTTCGCTTTACCCGCACCATGCCTGCCTACACGCGCATCTGCGGTGAGTCGTTAGCGCTTTTCACCGGCGTACAACCAACCCCCCCCCCCCCCCGTGTATCAGTGACATTAGCTGTTGCCGTAGCGACCGCGTCGCCTTAACAACAAGTCGACTTGCCAGGATACCATATTTGGCACAAATCATCCGCTCAAAGATATTCCCTACTTTTCCTTACCTTTCCTTCTATATTTCCTACTTTTTTCTGTTCCATTTTCAGTCTTTTCTTCCTTCTGTAAAATGAAGTACCGCTGAACTGAGCCGTTTCTCTATTCTTCTATTGATCAGCAAATCTGAACTTTCTCTATTCAAGTACGAGAGAGTGTGATGGGTGACGTGTTACGTTTGCGGGAAACCAGCACGCCGGGCGTACAGGGTGCTGCGAAAGTGTTAATTCCCCATGCACACCCCTAAACTGTGCTGCAACACGCATGTACAATGTACTGAAGGGAGAACCCCTGTTGCCAAGGACAACATGGACCCTGACGATGTGCACAGAAAACTGTACAGGTAAGGCTGACCCGGGCGCGTGAACATGCTGCTATCCGGCCCGGGAGCACGTGTGGTGGCCGCGGTTCCAAACAACATGGCGTTACATGCACATGCCGTGTCCAAGGACCTTCAAAAAAGCAAGTCTGAAACACCTTTAAAAGCAAGTCTGAAATACCTTTAAAAGCAAGTCTGACATACCTTTAAAAGCAAGTCTGAAATACCTTTAAAAGCAAGTCTGAAACACCTTTAAAAGCAAGTCTGAAACGAGTACTTGAAGGGCCAGGCAGCTGAATACACCATGCTATATCCCCCTACCTCAGAAAACTCTCTCTTCAATACAATCATGTGCAAAATCTAAGTAATTAGTTGCGTAGCCAGTCACAGTGGTGCAGGTCACTGAGTTTGTCCTGATTTCGGTTTTTCGACACGGATAGCATGGTGAATTTACTTGCCAGCGCATGTACACAGCGTACGAAGTCACACAAGAACACCGAAATCCTAAAACAGGACGTCTAAATCATGCAAACTTGGCTGATTTCCGGACTGTGAAACACGAAAATTTGAGCTGTACGCAAGTCGCAGCTTGGCTGACCTCATCAGGGTGACGTAGTGCACGAACTGCGCTGTTTCAGATCTGATATGCACAGTTGCACACTCTGGTTTATGTACTCTTGATACGTCACAAGAGAAGCACTCAAATCTACAAATGCACTGGACGTGCACCCACAGATTTTTTCTTTGTGGCAATGATAGCGGATCTGAATCTGAATGAAACAGATCAAGACAAGCACCAGATAACTGTCTAATCCACACAACCGGCGAAGCCATGTGAATATACCCCCCACCCACCCACATACACACACGCACCATGCACGCACATACACACACACACACACACACACACACACACACACACCACTACTGTGTAATCCGAGATGCGAACGCTCACACAGCCACCACGCCAGGAACGCAGAAAGAAACAAATCAACAATAATATCAACAATAATAATATTATAGGAGCACACAAACAAGCCGTACAAACAATGCACATTGTAACAGAATACAAAACAAGCCATAAATACTCTGTGTGTAAGGAGACGGGGCCGGACGGATCTATTCTTTACACATGAATCAAAACAATTATTTATTGTATACAGTGTCCATAGCGACAGCGATACAAAACTCTTTTACGTTAGCTGGAAAGTGGAGAGTACGCGTCGTGGATTGTACAAGGTTAAAGTCTGTACGCTACAATCCTAGACGAGCGAAAAATCCAGTCCGCGAAAAAACAAAACAGGCACGTGTCTGTGCGTGCGTGCGTGCGTGTGTGTGCGTGCGTGTGTGTGTGTGTGCGTGCGTGTGTGCACAAGAGACAGAGAGATAGTGAAGCACCGACCGTCTGAGACGAACGAACGGACGGACATGACGATAGATAAATAGACAGCGGAGGAAAAGCATTTCTGCACAGCAAGATGCGCGCAAACCACGCGCGTCACACACACACACACACACACTTCGCACCACTCAACAAAGATACTCGTCAGCCTGTTCGCCGTACTCTATTCGTAACGTCTGCGTTCGAACGAAAATGGATTTACACTGCATAGATTAGATCGGCACAGGTCAAGTTCAGTTGTTAACAAGATGGATAGTTTGACGAATCGTATACCAACACAAGAGAACACACTCCCTCCACGCGCGCATTCTCGCTCACACCGGGCAAGCGACAGCGGAAACTGCATCTCGGAGCCAGCCATCGAGCCGCAGTCCTCAATCACCTCAGAACTGGATGACATGACTAAAATAAAGCACACAGTAGCGGCAGCATCTCCGACTCGGCACGCCACAGCAAAGTTACTGTTGAATAGGAAACTGCATCTCTGAGCCCGGCATTGGGGCAGTTCAGAATTGCCGCAGGATTCGTCACACGCCAGAAGACCACACAGTGTACAGCACAGCATATCTGCACCTCTCACTCAACGCGTCAGAGCACTGTGACGGCAGATTGGGTCAAGGGGCTGCACGTCACAGCATTGTAACTCTAGGTTTAAAATGGGTCAAGGGACAGAAAGCAGTGGTCGCTGCAGCGCTGAGTCACCGTGTCAGTATTCTACGACTGCAGAACGGGGCCACACGACAAACAGTAGCAGCCACGCTCCGACTCCTCAGCTCAGAAAACGAAATAAACTGTAAAACATTTTTTGTCAAAGGAATAGCAACAGTCTGTAGTCAAGGATACCACCAGACTAGCAGATCATGTGACCAACGGGGCGGTGGGAGTAGCTGCATCTTTGGCTTGGTAGTAATAGCATCCATGACTGCAGACCGGGTCATGCGACTAGCAAGGGGTGCATCTCTGACACGGTGGTATCCGTGACTACAGACTAGGTCATGTGACTAGCAGGGGTGCATCTCTGACATGGTATCCATGACTGCAGACCGGGTCATGTGACTAGCAAGGGGTGCATCTCTGACACGGTGGTACCCGTGACTACGGACTACGTCATGTGACCACCGGCGGCGGAAGTAAGCACACCTCGGATGAGTCACTAACTGCAAAATGAGAGCAGAACGGAGGCCAAGACGCAGCCGCCGCAACGACTCTTCAACCTCCAATGCAGCCATGCACAGACAGCCAATAGAGATGTCAACATCCACTCATGGAAACCCTCACCGTACTCTTCAGCAGTGCGCGCGCGGATGGAAGACGGAGGGGAAATCCCCTGGCGCACAGCGCCACCCGAACACGGACAAGGGCGGAGGGGAAATCCCCCTGGCACACGCACAGCCTAGCCCTACTCGAATATGGACAAGGGCGGAGGGGAAATTCTCCTGGCGCACGCACAGCCTAGCCCTACTCGAATATGGAGGGGTCGAGCTGGGCCGTTTCTGCGCCTCCGAGAGAAGCGCGTCGGAAGCTTCTCGAATCGCCGCCGGTGAACTTGAGCTGGCCGGTAGCGTAGATACTTTGGGACGGAGGCAGCTGGGCGACCGAGGACGGTATGCAGGCAAAGTAGGGATGTTGCAGGGCCTGCTGGGCGGTGAGCCTCTCGGCCGGGTTCATGCGCAGCAGTCGCTCGGCAAGATGCTCGGCTCCCGGCTCCTTGGCGATGCGCGGCACGACAGCGTGTAGGCGCAGGCGGCAGTACTTGGTGTAGGCTGGGTTGCTAGGCGACGACGGGTCGGCGTTGAAGTTCTTCAGCCGCGTCACACCGGGCCACGTTGCCTCACTCGGCGTGCCCAAGACTTTGTAGATGTTGACAAGCTGATCGTCGACGTCGTTTAGACCCGGGAACATAGGCGAGCCGGAAATCATCTCCATGAAAATGCAGCCGACCCCCCACAGGTCGATGCTGGCGTTGTAGGTGCGCGAGCCGAGCAGGACGTCCGGTGGGCGGTACCAGACGGTGACGACCTCGTGTGTGTACGTGTGGCTAGGCACGGACTTGGCACGCGCCAGCCCGAAGTCGCCGAGCTTCAGTTCTCCGCGTCGGCTTATCAGCAGGTTCTGCGGCTTGAGGTCGCGGTGCAGGATGCGACGCGCGTGCACGTACGCCAGGCCGCGCAGCAGTTGGTACAGGAACAGGCGTACATCGTCGGAGCTCAGGCCGTCCGGGTGCGGCTCCATGTAGCGCGACAGATCCGTCTCCAGGTACTCGAAGACAAACGTCAGCTTGCTGGGCGTGTGCGTGATATCGTGCAGTACAATGATATTGGCGTGTTTAAGACCCTTGAGCAGCGAAGCCTCGCGGATGGCGGTGAACGGAGCACCCTCCTCGGGATTCAACGTGATCTCCTTCAGTGCCACGATGGTGTTGAGACGACTGCTGCGACCCAGGTAGACGGTGGCGTAGCTACCCTCGCCGATCACCAAGATCTTCTTGTACGTGCTGGACGCTCCGAAGGGGCTCACCGGCGGCGAGCTGCCACCCTCCGCGCCGTTGCCGTCGCCGATGAAGGGCTGGCTGCCGCGTCGTTGGCGTTTCCGCGACGAGGACGACCCTGCGGCGATGGTGCCAGACGCGACACCGTAATGACGTCGTTCGCCGACCGACGACGGACGGGGCCGAGCTCCCATGCTGATGGAGCGAGTGAGTCGACGCACGATGTTCTCCTGCTGCTGTTGCTGCTGCTGATGTTTCTTGGGCGTCTTTGCCGGCGATGTCAAGGAGTTTGTCCTGCCCGCCGCGGTGCGCAGTCGACTTGGCGTCGCCGCATCGTCACGGGAGCTCGCGCTCTTGGCCGACAGAGCGGAGCTGCTTCGGGTGGCGACTGGCTTTGCATTGCCGCTGCCTCCACCACCACCACCACTGCCGACAGCATTGGGCAGGTCACTCTGCGAGAACATGCTGAGTGTGCGCGACAGGCGCTTGCGAAAGCGTCCGCTCAGACTGTTCGTTCGTGTGACGACGGCCGCGGGGCGTTCGCCGTACGACTCCCCACTGCTGGCCATCATCTCGCACCTCTCGTCGATGCAACCGTCGTCCGGCGACTGTGATGAGAGCCGCTGGAACACCTTCGGGCCGCTGCCGGCCATGGCGGTGGTTGCCGTGGCTATCGCCGATGGCGGCGGCGCGTGTAACGGTTTCTCGTGGACCATTTCGAGCGGAGACGAGCGCACGGCCATCACCGGAAGTTTTGTCTGGTACAGCTGTCCCGCCTCAGCAGTTGCCGCAGCTGCCGTTGCCACTGGCGACGATCCCGATCTGTTGTCGCCGTGTCGGGTTGTGTCTGGGGCAGACGAAGCCAGCACATAAAATGGACAGGTCAGCAGAACTACAATGTACCAATGAACATGTGAAGTTTTTAGATGCAAAGTGCGAATCATGCCCCAGCATCGTGCAAATTGCAGAAAGCCAAGATTTGGCGGCTTTCTTTTCTTAGAAAGCATAAGGCCATCATTTTTTATATCTATGTTTCGCGTCAGGTCAACTTCCAGAATCGTATGCGAGAGGTGGAAAGAAATAAAAAGTTGCAAAATAAAAAAAATAAAAAAGGATCATCAGAGGTGAATAGAACTGTACATACCACATAGCCTATTGACTATTGTCAATAGCTCGTGCATGGTGTACATTCGAAAGAAAAATCGTACGTCGAAGCACAAAATCTGGGTTATCAGCAAGAGGAAATACTGTAATTTCACAAATTTTCGGTGTACTTTTATTTTCGGTACTTTCGGTGCGTCTGTTTCATACCTAAAATTTCAATACACCGAACAAACACTAACATACATAATCCAATAGGGAACTGCTTCTCTGTACCGAAAATTTCTGTTCACCTAACCAAGCCTTTTGCTTTCATACCGAAAATATTGAGCACCGAAAATTTCTGAAATTAGAGTATTCACTTTGGACAGAGGAGGCAACCGTTGGTGCCCATGCTTCGCTGGATTATTGTACTCAGCCTTCAGCAGCGGTGCAAAGAGCTCCGAAACGACGCGTCCTCTCAGCTTGAGGCGATCGATGCGGTCTGGTGTAAGCTCAAAGAATTCTGCTCGCAGATGCAGAACAAACGATCTACCAACGCTGGCCTCGAGGCCAATTCTGAATCCCAGCTTCGCCGTATGCAACCAGTCCACACTGATGACTCGCACGATCGTACACTCACTGTTTTGATTTTTTTCCGGAAAAAAATAAAATAATCGAACATGCACAGTACGAGGTGGTTTGGCTTTTGTTAACATGGTTGTAAAATGACGTTTTTTCAGTCACTTCTAGACAAGCTATGTCCAAATGAATTGTTGGAAGTGGAAGTGCTATCCTTCATGCCCGTTGTGTCCAAAAATGGGAATGATCCCACTTTGGAAAGTGTCTTGAATCATGTCCTACTTTCACAGTATTCTCAGGATTCAAATAATTGGTGTGTCATTTTTTAACAAATTTGTAAAATGGCATCACAAACTGGGATATTCGGTCATCAATGTTCTGAAGTTGATAGATATATCACTTCAAGGATTGCTAGTGAATGAAATTTAATCTGTCAACAGAGGAGTGAACTGCATTGTATGCTGCGAAAGCCGTGTTTTTGTATTTGTAACTAGTGGCTGTGTTATACGGTGGAATTGGATAGATAGCATAGCATCGCAGCGATGTTTTCGTTCTCACAGAGTGCATTCCGTGACCTACTGTTCTTCATTACTGTCTCTAGTGATGGCAAGACGGCCTGACGTCGTCCAAAGGCCCTGCGGAAGCAATTCACTGCCCTCCTCGTCCATTCAGGGGCTCATTTTACACAGTTTACACAAAATGGCAAAGCACCCACCACTAGTTATACCAACGTGGCAGGGAGAATTAAATTATATGCACCAAATTTTCTGGTCAATGTTGATCTACGATAAACTGCCTCCCATTTGCCACCACCCATGTTTCGATACAGCCATCCGGAGCAGAGAAACAGCCAGAAGAAAAGCAAATTTTACACATTTGTTAAAAAATGCCAAATGTTAAAAAAAGCCAAATCACCTCGTACTGTGCATGTTCGATTATTTTATTTTTTTCCGGAAAAAATCAAAACGTATGCGTGCGGACGACGCGAAACATAGATATAAAAAATGATGGCCTAATGCAAATGCTTCCAAGCCCCGATTAGGATAGATAATAACAAGAGTCCATAAACAAGAGTGTGCAACGCCACATAAATGTCTGTCACGACTCGTTTTCAACATAACGTCATTTTCATGTAGCTGCGCGTGCAGGCCGCGACATTCGCTACATGAAAATGTACATGAAAATGACGTAATGTTGCAAACGAGTCGTGACAAGACCCTATCGCGCGTTGCACACTCTTGTTTATGGACTCTTCATAATAATAATAATAATAATAATAATGAAGGTACGTGTTAGGTCGTAAGTATCCACGCAAACACACATCCAGTCAAAATAAGGCACTTGTCAAAGTATCCGAACGTTTTCGGTCCCTTCTCATCAAGGATTATACAGGGAATGGCTCAAGTTGGAAAGACTAAAACTTATATAGCGTAAAGATATGAGATAACAACACTCGTGACAAGGTGAAAAAAGTATCAAGTTCAGCACGACACAAAACTCGAAGGACATAATAATAGCGACAAGAACATAGTGAGCAAATTAAGTTACATTGTTAACACCTCGACGAGGAGTAACACCAAACAATTGTAGCGACAACACATTTTCTTTTTTGTACGCAAAGTTCAGGATCTAACTTACGGATATACAAAGCTTCTAACACAGCCAGATGCAACGCACATCTACCACGTGACAATATTGAGAACACATTATCACTGTACAACTCACGACAATTGGTACGGGCTGACAGATGTTGCTTGATGGACGAAGTGCGATTCTTAGCTCCGTTGGGTGTAGGCTCCTCCAATGTCCCGTCATCTCGCCTCTTCGCGGCATCACCACTATCCGTCTCTTTGCTTTTCCGCGGCCTTCCACGTTTTCTGACACTAGCCGTTGTGTGCGCGATGCCCAGTGTCCTTTCAGCTACGTCTCCTCCATTGCGGATTTCTATTGATCTTCTTACTCCAACTTGTCCGGTGTTCGATATTGAGGTTCGTTTTCGCGGTCTACCACGTTTTCGAATATTGACTGTTGTTGTCACTTCCGTTGTCGTTGTACGTGCGTCCTCACCAGTCCGTATTTTTACTTGGCTTCGCGTAACCCTTCCCGACGCAGACAGATCCTTTGTCAATTTCGGTGGTTTACGTGTCGGTCTTTCACCATCTTTCACGCTGTTCTCAGCTGGACCCTGCGCTATACACGCGGAGGAGGACGGGCATGCAGTGATATCTTCACAGGAAGAGGAAGATCCACCGATGGACTGGACAGCACATTTTGGAGGACGACCACGGCGAGGACGACACTCACGCGCATCAAGCGGAACAAAACTTAACGGCACATGTTGACGAATGCGCGCGCCCAGGTGCTGAAGGGTTCTACCTACATACCGATCTTCACATTGTCGGCATTGAAAGAAATAGATAAGGTTACTTTTACTAAGGGTAGGTAGAACATCCTTCTTCACACTGAACGCACGCACTGTCCCAAATATGACGTACAGCTTGACGCACGGATAAGATGGACATACGATACCACGAACATCCTTCTCCACGCGCGCAGAACCGGCGCCAACCCAGGGTAAACGGAGCACCACTGGGCAAAGGTCAGGTCCAAATTGGATCGGCTTGTCTGTCGCCGGTTTTTCGTTGATAAGCTTGGCCAGAAATTCCTTTGGATAGCCGTACAGTGATAATGTGTTCTCAATATTGTCACGTGGTAGATGTGCGTTGCATCTGGCTGTGTTAGAAGCTTTGTATATCCGTAAGTTAGATCCTGAACTTTGCGTACAAAAAGAAAATGTGTTGTCGCTACAATTGTTTGGTGTTACTCCTCGTCGAGGTGTTAACAATGTAACTTAATTTGCTCACTATGTTCTTGTCGCTATTATTATGTCCTTCGAGTTTTGTGTCGTGCTGAACTTGATACTTTTTTCACCTTGTCACGAGTGTTGTTATCTCATATCTTTACGCTATATAAGTTTTAGTCTTTCCAACTTGAGCCATTCCCTGTATAATCCTTGATGAGAAGGGACCGAAAACGTTCGGATACTTTGACAAGTGCCTTATTTTGACTGGATGTGTGTTTGCGTGGATACTTACGACCTAACACGTACCTTCGTTATTAAAGTATTATCCGCCTCCGACTTCTTGTAAAATAATAATAATAATAATATCTATATTAGGATGATCCAGCGGCTTGTTGCCTATTTGGGAGCAGGAGAAGCAACTACAGCTACAGCCACAATAACACTTGTCAAGGCCACCGCTCCGATCAGCCCACAACCTGTCCCAGAGGAACGCCACAACTGGGTATGATCTCCACAAGTACGACCCTGGAGACGGGGAGCACAGCGGCCACATTCAGAAGGTCCCTTGAGCGGTCGCCATCGCACGTTTCACTGTACGTGCAGTTGTCATAGCAATGCCCTGCATCTCAGTTCCACCAGCTGCCTCCTACTCGTCAGAGCAGCAAGCTGGCTTCTGGACAGCAGCCACGTGACATGTACAAGTAGCAGATGTACAGTGGAACCTGTCTAAGACGACCGCTCAGGTGACCTTCAAAATGTGGTCTCTGTTACCAGGTGGTCTCCTTATCCAGGGTCGTTTGACTGGAAATAGCATCCCTTGGTCCTGGTTGCAGTGGTCTTCCAGGACAGGTGGTCACCTTGACAGGTATTACTGTACTCAACGACCAAAGAAAAGGACAGTTATGCTTCGTGAAATCCAACCCAGAGTGCATATTTGGCGCCCTCGATTTACACGGCCCTCGACGCCCCGAAAAGTGACTCGAATGCTGCTGTACGTACACATGCACAAGTGCAGTGGTATAATCGGAACTGGTCCAGGGCGCCAGTTTGGCACTTTGGGTCGGATTTCAGTGATTGCAACTTTACATGCATCAAAAGTTATCTTGGGGCATAAGCTGCACGGGGGTGATTTCAGCCCGGTTTACCATGATTACAGGACGGTTTACCATGATTTCAGCCCGGTTTACCATGATTTCAGCCCGGTTTACCATGATTTCAGCCCGGTTTACCATGATTTCAGCCCGGTTTACCATGATTTGAGCCCGGTTTACCATGATTACAGGACGGTTCGAACCCCGGAACATAGTACGCCCGCCATGTCCGTCTACGCGTCACATTAGCGGGGTTAAGCCAAGCGTTATGTTGATGTATTTTTTTGGCTCGTTATTTGGCCCGTGCGTTGGAGAACAACACGAGAGAGCTGCATCTCACGTCGAAATTTGGCGTATTACGCCAAATTTCGACCCGTTTGATGTGAAATTGCCCGTTACGTCAAAAATAATGTGCGCAGATTAACCTGTCTAATCTCCTCATTTCACTCACCTCCATTCTCGACAGCAGCTGCCAGCGACGTCGTCGGATTGACATGTGACGATGCCATACCCGTCGTTGGGTCAGTGCGTGATCGCGATAGAGGTCGATGGAAACCACCAGCTGCTGCAGCGCCCAGGTCCCCATGCATTGTGCTGTCCTGCATCAGCGTGTGAGGATTCAACAGCAGCGGGCTGCCACTGGCGGTTACGTCATTCATTATGTCATCATCATCCTCCTCATGGTCTACGTCATCATTATCCGGGGAAATCCCCTGTACGAGTCGACACCGCGGCGACGTCATCGGTCTGCCAGCAGCTGCTACACTACTGCTACTCATGTCGCCGTCGTCCCCCTCTGGGGAATTCCCCTTCTTGGGGAGATCGTCGGAGGAGGAGAGGCTGACGGAGGAGAGTCGTTCAGCGTTAAGGAGGACCTCCTGGAAGAGCTCAACTTCTGGCACCTGCACTACGTTTTCCTCGTCGACATGACTATCCACATGGTGGGTCGGCTTCGACGCAGGAACACATCTCGCGTTCGAATCGGGATCTTTGTATCCGTTGGTGACCGTCGCGTCGCCATGGCTACCGAACAGGCTGTGCTGAACGTGATTGGGACCGCGCGCTGCATGTCCTCCCGCCGATCTGCCGGAGATAACTATGGCGTGCTGGTTGCACCCTCGCTGGTTGGCGTCACTATCCCCATTCTCGGACATGGCCCACCGCAGCTGCTGCGGCGAGAAGAGATGGAGACTGTAACGGCGAGTGTTACTGCTGTATGGAAGCAGACAAACAATACGGAAATAGGAATAAGACCAACGTTACAACATCTACAGCAACAGCAGCACCACCACCACCAGCAGCAGCACTAGCAGCAGCACCAGCACCAGCAGAAGCAGCAACAGTAGCAGCAACAACGGGAACAGTAGTAGCAACATCAGCACCATGACTACCACCACCAGCAGCAGCAGCAGCAGCAGCAGCAGCAGCAGCAGCAGCAGCAGCAGCAGCAGCAGCAGCAGCAGCA